ATATGGTTTAGATTTGTATCTTCATCTTGAGAAAAAATTCATAACTGCCAGAAAAGAAATGAGTCCTAAAGAAATGTATTTACTAAACTATAAAATCCAGAATAAATAAGACCTGGCCCTGAGAATCTTCCCAGCCTCGTTTCTTGTCACATCCCTCCTGAACTTGAGCTCCAGCCATAAGGAACTTCTTGTGTTCCTCAAATGTGTCCTGCTCTTTCTAGACTCTAGTTTTTGCACATGCCATTCCTATTTCTAGAATATTCCCCCCATTTCCCATTCTTCCCCACTTTTGCCTGGTTAACTCCTAGATATCCTGTGTCTTGGTGTGGTTATCTTTTTGTTCGGTAAACCTCCTTTGACAAACCTTTCTTTATCGCTTTCTATTCTTCATCCCTTTGTTGCGCCCCTCCCCCCTAATGTAGAATGGCGGCTTCCTTCCTGCTTCTATGGGTCTCTGTATTTATCCTTATTACAGTATTTTCCCAAGGCATCATAATTGTGTCTGCAGCGCCCACTAGATTGAGGGCTTAATGCTGGTAAGGACCTGTCAATTTATTCTCTCTACTTCGTCTCTGTGTGCCAATAGTTAGCACTGAGTGAATGGTCAACAAACTGCTGAGCAGTTGAGAGACCAATGCCACTACCAACATATACATCAGGTTCAGGATTTTTATATGAAGGTTCAAATAGTAAGAGCTTAGGAACCATTCCAAGAAACTGTCTTTCTTTGCTGTTGATTATTAAAAAGACTTTGGGGTCTAGCTAGCTATAACTACAGTTAATCCTTGAACAACACGGGGCTCAGGGGTGCTGACCTCTGCGCAGTTGAAAATCCACATATAACTACAGTCAGCACTCCATATATGCAGAGTTGACTGTTGAACAAAATGGGTTTGAACTGTGTGGGCCAATTGACCTACATAGGTCAATTGAAAAAAATCCCACATACAGTGGAACTGCACAGTTCAAACCTATGTTGTTCAAGGGTCAACTGCACTTTTATTCCACCGTTTGTACAAGGGCATATTTTAGCATTTAGGAAAGGTTGAAGTACAGAGATTTTGATTAACTGTGGCCTATTTAAAAATTGGTACTCAGCTGTTTCTAAGTACAAAGAGGTCAATGTTCAGGCATGTCCTTCTTATGTCCCTGATTCAGCTACTCAACAGGAGCAGTAAAATAGCCAAAGGTGCTGATTCTGTACTTCTACACTTATACTAACATAGATCATATGTTAAAAACCTATAAAGAAATAGCTATCCCATTAAACAATATAGATAAAATCCAGGAGACAAAAGATAAGGATGGACTCTATAGCAAAATGCCCCCTTATTAGTCAATTTATAAGGTTTAAAAATTGGGGGTATGCCCTAGCCAGTTTGGCTCAGTGGGTAGAGCATCGGCCTGTAGACTGAAGAGTCCCAGGTTCAATTCCGGTCAAGGGCACATGCCCGGGTTGCAGGCTCTATCCCCAGTAGGGGGTGTGCAGGAGGCAGCCAATCACTGATTCTCTCTCATCATTGATGTTTCTATCTCTCTCTCCCTCTCCCTTCCTCTCTGAAATCAATAAAAATATATTTTTAAAAAGTGGGGGTCATCGGTCAGAGTTTTAGTGGGAGAAATTACAGCGAAGTTTTGGGCAACTACTTAAAAGTACAAAAGCACAGTTCGGTGTTACCAAGCAATAATAGCACATTGGAAAAGATGGATTTAAAAGAAAACTGGCTACGGATCAGTCCCACTTGTCCAAAGATGTTAAAAACAGTTATAAGGGTCAACTTAAAATCTGTTTGCAGACACGAAAGAAGAATTGCTCATTTCATATGTAGAGGAAAAGCACCCACTAAGGGACAGGCCCTTCCTAGTGGGGTGGGTGATAGGAGACAGTATTGAGATTCTTCTCTCCTAGTATGTAACCCCTTCCTGTTAAAATACTTTCATATTCCTAAATTATCACATAACCATTGAACTTTTAAAGAAGAACCCTAAGATCTATCTTGTCCAAATTCTTATTTTATAGATGAGGCTTGTGGGGATTAAACATTTTGACTAAGCTCATTCCTGGATGCTGGCAGAAAAAGAACTAAAACTATATCAACTAAAACATCTCCTTGTGCTTTATAAATAACACAGAAACAACCATTCTCTCTCCTCAATCAGCTGGCTACCATTTAAACAGTGTGAAACGGAGAGATTAGCAAGGCACTGAGCAAAGCCATTAGGCATCCACAGCTCCGTTTCCCAGGCAGAGGGGCAGCAGCATGCCGTTTAGTTGTGGGAGTATTTCCAATTTGCATGAATGGAACATGGACAAATAAGATAAGGCTAACTGCAGGAAAGTAATTTCCCTAGTTCCCCGGAGCCTTGGATTTGGAAAACTGTAGCCTGCTCTGGAATTCAGGACCATTACTGGGTAGAACTCCCCATGTGACCTCAGCCCACGCATGGAGACTTGTCAAGGTCCCAGGTGCTGGCTCGCCCACGGGCTGTGGCTGAGACAGAAAAACAAAGAGAAAAATCCTCCCAAAAACACACACATAAGCAAGAACCATCTTCCTGTGTTCTCTGCCAAGAGAGCTGGAGCCAAAGAGATGAGTTCGCAACTCTGATTCATCCATCAAGACAAATAAACTCAGTCTATGGAGGTTAGGAGGCCAATTTAGGAAGTAAACACAAGTTCAGCCTTGGGAAAAACACAGACGCCATCCCTGGAACCTAACTCCACAGTGAGAACAGGGCTCACTCTTAAGGATGGAGTTCTGAAAATGTCAGCAGATGATCCGCTTCAAAGAAGCAACTCCAGAGGCAAAGAGCACCAAGACGTGAGCCTTCCTCCCACTGCACAGACGCGTGGAATCGGAGCTGAGGAGCATTGCTAGTGGAGAAGGGGCCTGATGGCAACGTAACAGCAGCAAATGGAAGCCTGAGGGGTGAATAGCACTTCCTCCCTCCAGGAGTGCCAAGCTTCTGGGCTGGTCTGGAGCATCCACTTTAGTTCCCTGATCAACACTGCTCTTACCTGTATCACTTCTCTGCTTTGGATAGCGAGTTGTTCCCCTGGTTCTTACCCAGCACCTACCCCAACCCCCAGCAACCACAGGTGTGAGCTTGAGCTTACATTCTCTTTGTCTCCCGGCATCACTAGAGTATCTGGTCCAGGTCCTGTTCATCCCTTCTGCTGCATGGGTCTCCCACCCCCTTATCAAATCCTCCTTAGGTAGAGCCTGATTCTTCTCCCCTTGCATGTGGGCTGGCCTTAGTAACTCACTCCTAACGAACAGAATATGGTAGACGTGACCATGTGTGACTCCCGGGACTCGGTCTTTGAAGGCATTGCAGCTTCCTTCTTGCTTTTTCTGGGATCACTTGCCATGGGAGAAGCCAGCTTCCCTGTTGTTAGGATGCTCAGCAGTGCAATGCAGAGGCCTGAGTGACGAGGAACTAAACCCTCCTGCCTGTAGTCATATGAGCGAGCCAATGTGGAGACAGATCCTGCAGTCCCAGTCAAGCTTGCAGATGTAGGTTCTAGAGATCAGCTGTACAACACTGTGCATATAGATAATAATACTGTACTGTACACTTAAAAACCTAAGAGGAGATATTTCATGTTATGGCTTTTAACCACAATGAAAAGAAATAGTGAGATCAAAATGACCTTTCAAGAATTCCAAGGTTCACAGCAATGATTCATTTTTTGGGCAATACTCCAGAACTGAGTGGCAAACTGACTCAAAACACCTCAAAAGTAAAAAACAAAACAAAACATAAAACCCCCCTTATTTTCACATTAAAACAAAAATGTTGCTCCCTTCTTCCTGGAGGATTGGCAGGGTGAGAAGGGAGATAGGAGGGCAGATGACCAAACATAAAGACAGGTGTTGTAATCCCAAGAATTCTGGGAATCACTGATCTAGACTTGAGGTTTCAAAAGAAATGGGCTTAAGAAAAATACCTGGGCATTTGGAAAGATAAATTCCAACCAAAGAACTGACATCACTGGCTTTCTTTCTAATTGTCCTTTCAGCAAAGACCATGTAGACACAATACCCAAGGAAAAGGGCAGAGGACAAGACGGAAAACTCAGATAAGCAATGAGCTAATGCACAGATAAGAGGGGTGTGCATTACATCGGCAAAGGCAGAGACAAATAAAGAAGACTGACATCTATTCATTAATATATGACTGGGTCAAAAATGAAGAACATATAGATGGCAAGTTCCTGTTATATCATCTCCCACAGAAATTAGGGGAAAAAATTATCAAAAGAGGGGAAAGGGCACATGAAGGGTTCTTTTTATGGTGCATATACCTAATTATCACTGCCATAATGAAAACTAGGAATGGGATTAGTAAAAGGCATGTGAAAGGAAACGATATTATCAGGACAAGGAGAGGGTCAAGTTCTCATAAAATTTAGAGCGTACACTAATGCTCTCAAAGTTGATTGACAGTTGAAGTTTGCTTTCTCTTTAGGTATTCCTCAGTCTGCTACTTTTTTTTTTTTTTTACATTAAAAGCTAATTCTGTGAAGCTTTTCAATGACCACTCCTGGGTGCAGGCCCCTTTGGAAGGACATGAGAGAAAAACCAAAGCTCTAAGGAAGTCTTTCTGGCCAAGACTAGAGCAATGTTCTGAGCCCCTTTCTTGCCCAGACATTCGTGGGGGTCCAAGCAGGGTGACTGAATTCTGGGCTGCCCCCAGGCCTACGGCCCTCAGGCCTTCCTCTAAGTGAGCTTCCAGCAGCCAGGATGAAGGAGAACAATGCCCTCCCCTCGTGTTGTTTCATGACAGAATATTTCCATCAAGACACACTGACTCTCCCAGGAAGGAAACAAACTGGTGTGAAAGCTGGGATGCCCACCAGAGTCTCTTGGGCCATCTATGGGGCTGGAGCGGGCAGAAGAGAAGAATAAGGACAGAAGATAAGCAGAGAGAAGTGGGGCGGGAACCACCATCTCCCAGCCATTGAGCCTTCTATCTCTCTGGGTGGCTTATGGTACCTTCACAACAAAACACAGACGGAAGCTCCTCCAGCAGGAGCCTCTTGGCACCAGGAATTCTCTCTAGATTTCCTACGGGACCTGGATGTGAATCTTTCTCTCCTTCTTCTAGAAGTCCTGCCAGAGCGAGACATTTCTCCATCAAGATGCTGATCAGGCTTGTCCTATTAAGAAATTCATTTCAGCCCAGAGGGCATGGCTCAGGGGGTTGAGTGTTGACCTGTGAACCAGGAGTTCATGGTTCAATTCCCGGTCAGTGCACATGCCCAGGTTGTGGGCTCAATGATCATGCAGGAGGCAACCAATCAATGATTCTCTCTCATCATTGATGTTTCTATCTCTCTCTCTTCTTTCCTCTCTGAAATCAATAAAAATATATTTTTAAAAAAGAAATTAATTTCATAAAGAGAAAAAGAGGAAGCTGGTTTACATAAAAATGAAAACCAAAGAAATACCCATTTCAAGTTTGACAGCTTTTTCTAGCTTTGTTTCCTCTATCATGCCCTCCCCCCCGCCCCCCCCCAAAGTCTGATTGACTTGTTATATTAACACAAGTTCTGTTTATGCATTTTTATTACAGATAACAAATAAAAAAAGCACATTTCCCACTGAAAGGAAATCACATTTAAAAAATCCCTTTAGGGACAGGAAAAAGTGCAAACCATTTAAAAAGATTAATTTGTGGGAGGACGAGGTCAGTCCCAAATCACTCCCTTGCATTATGCTCTGGTTCAGCGAGGCGGATGCCCCAGGCCACACGTATAATGGCGGAAGGTTCTCTGTCACTGCAGGCCTGCACCTCTCTGAGACCATAATCATTCTCAAATCAAAACATGCAAAAATGTAAAACCAAAAGCTTAAATAAGAACACCTTTGTTTTTCATATCTGGGTGCCCAAGACAACGCAAGCCAGCTCACAAATTGCGGAGAGGGGTAACGGGCAATGAACATGGGGGGCCTCGGCGCATATTTCTATTGGATTAAGATTGATTCATCCTAAAAAACAAATATGATCAATCTTGTAGATCAATGTTGAATGGTACAATGCACACGTTTCGATGTACTAAATAATTTATTGAAATAAAATGGCTATTTTAAAAGGCCAATTTATCTGTATCCGGGCTCTCCCCACGTGTCCATTTTACACTCTGCCCTGTTTCTTCTGCTCTGAACACACCTGGTCCACCAGGTTAAGGAAGTCCCTCTGGTCCACGTGCATATGGCGGTGGTGAAACCTGGCTGGAGGAATTATCTAAATTGGTACAAGATGCAGCATGAGTATATTTTGGCCAAAAGTGATGCCCATCAATGAGCAACTCTAGGTCCTACTAAAGGCACTGCCTTTTTTTTTTTTTTAAAAAAATATATTTTCATTGAATTTTAGAGAGAAAGAAAGGGAGAGAGAGATAGAAACACTGATGAGTGCTCGCTTCGGCAGCATATATACTAAAATTGGAACGATACAGAGAAGATTGGCGTGGCCCCTGCGCAAGGATGACACTCAAATTCGTGAAGCGTTCCATATTTAAAAAAAAGAAAAGAAAAAAAAGAAACACTGATGAGGGAGAAAAATCAACATGGATCGGTCGCCTCCTGCATGCCCCCTGCCAGGGATCGAGCCTGAAAACTGGGCATGTGCCCTGACTGGGAATCAAACCGGCAACCTCTTGGTGCATGGGTCGATGCTCATCCACTAGCCACACTGGCCGGGCTGAAGGCATGAGACACTGGGGTATGAGACACTAGCATGGAATTTAAAGAATGCCCCCCTGCTACAGCCTTTGGAAAGCCTCTGCTAGTCAAGCACTACATTCCATGCCGTCACTGAGAACATGTCTCAGCAAATCAGGGGATCTCTTCGTGCCTAAGGAGTGAGGGTCAGTCAGTGGGAGGTCCATTTGGGGCTCTCACCTCTAGAATGCCTATTTCCTTCCTCCATCTGTGCTGAAAAAAAAAAAAGCTTGCTTTTGGTCTGGCATTGTACTCGACTCTTGACCACTCAGGCTTTAGCTAAGCAATCCCAGATCTTCAGCACTGGCGAGTTGCCACACACACAAGGTGAGATGCCTCTCTCTGTTTTCCCCTGGATGGTCACTGAGTAGATAGGGTCCCCTAATAGCTTACACTGGGTCCGCAGGACCCATCCGCAGTCCCAGGGCTCAGCCCAGCAGAGGGGCCAGGCCTCGGCCAGCATCTAACACGTCTAAGGGAGCCACATTGATACTGTGCCATACTTGGCGTGGAGGATATCAGGGTACTCAGGAAGGGAGGGCCACACTGGCTTTCAAGATTTTGGGTCTGCTTAGGAGGGCTTGAAGACCTTTTCTCGGAGTATCGGGAACCCTGGATGGGGGAAGGGAGGTGGTTATAAAGAATGTCCCAGAACTGCCCACGATTACTAGGGTCTCCGGATCATGAGGGTCAGACTTGGATGGGCCTTTTAGGTGGCCCATAAACTTCCATGACTACTCAGTAACTGGCGAAGCTATAAGTCAGCCCAGTACAACACCACTGTCACCACCACCTCCAACTTCCCCACCATTCCTGGCTGTGTATGGGGAACTCTCTAAAGTGTGTCTCATACTTAACCATCAGCACAGCCATCATGACCCCTATGGCACAGAGGTGAGGAGGTAGGGGGGGAAGGGGTGAGGGAGGACTTAGTAACCTGCCTGAGGCCAGGGGCTCACACAGCCGCTCTCCTGGTGTGAGCACGCAGGTCCCAACACTGCCTGGCCCATTTCCTCTTTGGAAAATGCCTCTCTAACCCAGAACACAACCATTCTATTGTTTCCCTTCCTCCTTCCCTTCCTCTCGCCTATTGCCTCTGAAGGTGAGAAAAGGTCAAAGTGAGCCATAACTGGCACCTGGGCTCCGCTTGTCATTCAGGCGAGTCTGAAAGCACTACCGGCTTCACTTAGGAGTTTCCTCTCCAGCCTTCCTTACTTCCGGGGCCAAGTCACCCTTGCCAAGCTCTCCATCCCTCTTCCTTCACCTCCTGAAGTTGAAGGAAGGCGCCTCTTCCAAGTGCCACTTGCGTTCTCTCCTATTTATGCCTTCTAACACTGGGCCCTCTTTTTCTTTTTAATCCTCACCCAAGGATATGCTTTTTCATTGATTTGAGAGAGAGGAAGGGTGAGGGGGAGAGAGAAACATTGATGTGAGAAAGAAACATTGATCGGCTGCATCCCATAGGCATTCCAACTGGGGATTGAACCTGCAACCCAGGTATGTGTCCTGACTGGGAATTGAACACAGCACCTTTTGATGTATGGGATGACGCTCCAACCAACTGAGCCACACCAGCCAGGGCCTGAGCCCTCTTTTTCTAAACACCTTTTCAGATGGCTTGCTTCTTTTAAGTCCTTCAATTTAAAAAGGCCCTAAATAATAATAATAAAAAAGTCACCAGCACCCAGGTAATGTCATGTTTTAGGGACTTAAACGTTCCTTCATTTGCTATAATCTGTGTTAAAATAATACAGTATTATATAATTTGAATGCACTAGAAGACCTCAGGGCACATTTTTGGGGATAAGATATTAAACCTGGTTGAAACTCAACAAGAAACAGTGTCATGCGGAGAAATCCATGCCTATTGGACACTTGACTGATCACATCTCAAAGCCTAGTGCTTTGCTAAAAGGCATCTTTCGTAAAAAAATAAGCAATCCTGTTACTCAGTGCCTTCTCTGCACACCATAGCTTTGAAGGAATTTGGTAGTTTGCAAATTCAAAGCTGAAAAAAAACCCCACAACTAAGACTTGAGTCAATTTATTCATGGTAAAATGAATACAGCTTGGAAAAGTCTACCCTCATTAGGATCATTTCCATGTAATCTGTAATCTGGTGTGAGGCTGTTTAACTAGCCTCTTGCCCATGAATGGAGATCAGTTTTCTAATATGTGCTCTGTCTTCAAAGGACTCAGGAGATACCACAGAATAAGAGTAACTTTAATATATTTCTTTTTTCAGGAGCGTGTCATTGTTGTCTTAATCAGTGATATTTTTATTTTATCAGATTGAGAGTCTCTCTCCCCCTTCCCGCCCTTGCAGGAATGATCAGAGCTTCCCCATTCCTCCCAGGTGGGGAGGTTCCCTAACTAATGAACTAGAACACTGTCAGATGTCTGGTTGCCAAGTCATATATTAAAGTGCTTTTCTAATGAGATCTCTGCAAGGTAACTGTAAAACCATAAAAAGCACACAGCTTCAGTGAAGCAAAAACGTTAAAAAAATAACTAAACGCCTTTAAGGGAAAGAAGAGTTCAACACAGCAGTTAAAAAGCTAAAGAGAATGTGACAAGTGGAAAAATGAAGTGCAATAATTTCACCTCTGAGAAAAAGGGTGGACACAAAGCAGAGCAGTATGGCAGTTAGATCATAAAGGAGCCGCCCGAGTAGCTCAGGACTGGACCTTAAATAGCTCCCTTTCCACGCATCCATGTCCATCTGTAACACGGATCTGTGATCAACATAGTTACGAATGCCCCCTGTTATGAAAGGAAGGACCATCTCTTCACTCCTAGAACTCGTACCTGAGAATTTGGGAATAGTCTATAAAAGTCTTGACTACCAAGGCTCTCTTTGCGGGAACCAACAGAATGAGAAATTCTCACTCGGAACACAAGCAGCAGCAGTGACGTGAAGCCTCTGCCACGGAGCCCTCTGCAACAGGTTTTGAAAGCCCTTCCCGTGGTGGCGCTCGTCAAGTTATCTAACCATGGAACCCACCTGACATTACAGAGGCTGAGAGCTAGAGGCCAGCCCTGGGTCTGTATTGGTGTGCGCCCACGGCTCCACTGTGTGCGGTACTGATCCCAGCAGCCCTGCAGCCTTGGGTCCCGTTCAAGAGATTGAGAGTAGAACTGACCCTTCAGAGGATGGTATAGGGTCTGAAAACCAACACAGATGGTATGTGGGTGTTTAGCCACAGAAGAGAAGCCTGAGGTGGGGAAGGAAGTACCTGTTAAATATCTCCTAACACCTGAAGGGAAGCCATGCCAGGGAAAGAGAAGTCTGGATTTCAGTTACTCCCGAAGGAAGCACCAAGATCAAAGATGCGTTACACATTTAAGGTCAAGGGAACCAAGTGCTTGTCGGCCGATAAAGCTGTCCAACAACAAACAAGACTTCCTTAAAGGCAGTCGCGTGCG